ACGCCACACTCCGCCCACACGTCTTTGCTCGAGAACGGCTTACACGTTGGAGACCAACCACGGTCCGTACTGCCACTGACAACCAGGGCCGGCCCACCCATCTCTCCGCTGAAGACCTGGCCCGCATTCTCGAGGTAATGGCCGGGGCGTGGGCGGATGGGACTCTGGAAGTCTATGGGACAGGCCTCCTCACCTGGCACGCCTTCTGCGACAAGAACGGAGTTAGTGAGGATCAGAGGGCCCCAGCCTCACCCCTCCTCATCGCCTCTCTCATAGCCACCCTCTCAGGTGCTTTCTCTGGTGGCACCATCGCCAACTACGTCTATGGCATCCGGGCATGGCACATCCTGCATGGGGTCCCATGGAAGATGGTCGACCCTGAACTGGAGGCACTGCTCAAGGCCGCAGAAAAAGCAACCCCACCCACGTCAAAGAGGAAGAAACACCAGCCATACACAAAAGATTTCATGGTTGCTATTCGCGGTCAGCTAGACCTCTCAACGCCCCTCCATGCTGCCGTTTATGCCTGCTTGACAACCACATTCTGGTCAGCTGCCCGAGTTGGTGAGTTCACGGTCAAAAACCTGACAAGCTTCGACGCAAACAAACATGTCAAACCCTCAAACGTTACAACCACGACAGACCAGAACGGCTTCGAAACAACCGAGTTCTTCATCCCCTCCACAAAGTCTGAACCCACCAACGGAGAGACAGTCTCATGGTCGAGACAGAACGGAGACACGGACCTGGAGACTGCATTCCACAATCACATAGATGTCAACTCACTGCCAAATGGTGGCCACCTCTTTGCGTACAAAGTAGGCTCAGGATACAAGCCACTGACAAAGCACAAGTTCATTCAAATTCTCACCACCGCAGCACGAGCAGCTGGCCTAGAGCCACTTCAAGGCCATGGGATCAGGATTGGGTCAACACTCGAGTACCTCCTGAGGGGGATTCCATTCGATGTGATGAAAGCAAAGGGAAGGTGGGCAAGTGACGCCTTCCTCGTCTACCTCAGGAAGCATGCCCAAATCCTCGCACCATACATGCAAGCAGACCCAGTCCGCCAGGAAGAATTTATCAGGCTAACCATGCCTACTACGCCGCCACTAATCAGGTAAGCAACCCCTGTCATGCTCCTAGCAGAGTGGGCTCGAGACTCGCTCGATGCGTCGCAGGACTCCTAACAATTGGGAATCGCGCTCATCTTGGCTTCTTTCACAGACCAGGAGCTCCTGCCGGGCACGAAAGCCTTCGGGCTTTCCGCCCATATATTACATCCAGCACACTGCCATTCCATACACCTATCCCTCTTACCCTAGTCTACCATCGTTAATCTAATGCTGTCACTCGCCAGACCTGCCTCAGCGCCATTCATAGATTTTGGCCTATAACGTAGTGAGGTACGAGCGTAGGGTTAGGGTGCGGTCTATGCATCAGCGGTGGCAGTGTTAGGTGAGGAGAACCTCTTTCTCCTCGACTGCCACCTGCTGCCCACGCTGAGAGCAGTCCAGCGTTGCGGGCTTTTCTTTTCTCATCGTATCTACC